GGTGACAAGGCAATTCCGGATTCACAAGTGTTGGGAGTATTTCAAGTGCTTCCCTCAATTCTCCAGCCATTATAATAAGCTGCTTGTTGATGAGGAAGAACCCAGGAAGAACATTACTATTTTAGATGTGGGCTGCTTTCGTTGGCAGATGAACATCTGCCCCAGCTATCTGGTTTTTCGGGTGAAGAACACATGCAACATTGAGCCCTACCTCCCTTGTCGGTTCGCTCGTCAGTTTGGTTACGGCCAACTGTATACCGGGAACCTGAACAGGAGATTGAAGGTTCATGGAGGTCTTATTGATGGTGCTCTTTAGGGGTGTATTCGGTTCAGATACAGTTCGGATATGACCCTTACCATAACCATAACCACTTTTTGAAAACGAATACGGATACGGTTCGAATATTCATCGGTAAGAAAAAAATATTACCATATCCGCATTAAACGAAAACGGATACGGTTTGGATATTAGAGGTTCAGATACAATTCGGCTACAGATACTAATCGGATATTTGAAAAATAGATATGAATAGGATATGACAAAAATAAATATGATTTTAATAACTTGCAAAATAAGACAAGTAAGACAAGTTACCTCAAGACTTTGTTTCTATTCTGTATAACAAACCTAAAACACCATAGCAGGCCCTAAACAAAAAATTAAAAATATTGAATATCATAACTAAAATGTGATAATCAACAACTACAACTGACCTCACAAACTACAACTTTTCCCCTCCTTTTTCTCAGATTTTTCCTATGTTTTATTAGAAGACTCTTTTACTGCGGGTTCAATGACCGATTCAACGGGGGGTTCGACCGTGGGTTCTTCATTAGAAGCTTGAACTAATGGACTAGACGGCGTGATTCTATACCTATTCAATAAAATTTATAAACTTAATCAAACAAAAATATAATGATGCAAATTACAATTATATATGCAACTAAAAACAATTAGAACTAATAGGTTAGGGATTTTTATCAAATAAATTAGGATTTTTCAATTCAGTCAACAAATGCAAAAAATTAGGGCTTTTATCAATAATTAGAATTCACCTTAGTGATATACCAAATTGAGGAGGAGACAAGGAGGTCAGACATCATTGTCACGTCGTCGATGGTCGTCTTCACGTCAATCAAGATAAGGCGACCGTGGACTTCTTGAAGAGGCGGAGGCGGAGCATCAAGATGAGACGGAGCAGGAGGTGGAGCTCGATGGT